CACACACACATGGAGTCACATGGAGACACACAACACACTCCCCGTGATCCTGTGGACACTGCCATTGTTGTTGTTGCTTGGCGGCTTGTCAGTGTTGCCAGATCTTTGGAGAGAAACAAGCAACCAGGGCTATGGAAACAAGCCCAAAAAAAGTGACTATCATGCGTTTAAATAACTTATTAGACAGATATATATAGAGGAAGGTGACATTTAGAGAGCAAGCCCAAATAAGCAACTCCACTTTAGAAACAAGCCCAAAGTCGCGGCTAATAAGCAGACCTGGCAACCCTGCGGCTTGTCCTCATCACATTTCTTCCATCCTCCTGCGTGCTGACGTGGGACATATCCCACCTCTCATTGGCTGATGCTCTTTGTCAGTCGTGTCAGACTTCTTCATTTTACTAACATGCCAGATATCCAGTCCCAGTCTCAGACGAGGGGGCGACTTGCTCGTAGGTTTGTTCACACATGAGGACTCGTCGTGGCAGACTATCTGCCGACTCACCTCCGACCCAAGGTGGCTCTCAAGATCCTCTGCGACGTCAAAATCACGGTGAAAATTGTACAATGTGAACTTGGCTTAAGGCGGAGAGAGCAGCAGCAAAGACCCCCTGGGAACAGAACAGAGAAACGTCAGTGGCAAACAGACACAGCATGAAAAGGAGGAGCTGGGGTGGAGGCCGGTTGTAAAGCAGCTTGCAGAGGAAGCAGCAGCAGTAGGCAGGCCAGAGCAGTTTGAACAGGGCGTCCTGAATGAGATTCACCAATTGGTTGCACAGAAAGGAATCATGTGATCTATCAGTTGACTCCCTTCCATCAGTTGATTGGGCTGTTTGAGATCAGCTGATGTCGCTGGGATGTGAGCTGAGCTTGACATCATTACCTGCCTCAGTTTTCATCTTCCGCTGACTTAAAGTGGGATGGCATAAAAGCAGAAGTTGTTTTCAGAAATGTGGCTTCACACACTGAAGCACCCCAGTGATGTCAGTGTTGGCAGCCACAGCCAAACTTAATTCTTCCGTCGTGCTCAATTTGGACCAGTGCTGGGCGAGGTCATTTCTGATAAAGACCCAGTGATGACAGTGTCAGCAGCCAGAACTGGGCCAGTTTATTTGGACCAGTTCTGGGGCATCATTCATCCAGAGTCTCACCCAAGTGGGGCAACTGTACGCAGCCTGATTATTTTCTTTCAGTATGCAGAGTTTGGGCTTATGCTGGGTCAAGAGAAGCCAGTGTAGGCGGCCAGAATCAGGCCATGTTATTTGGCCCAGTTCTGGAGCGTCTATAAAATAGGTGTTGGCTTACTGAATACCAAACTTGAGACCTATTAATGATAGATGAATAAATCAGAAGGCACTGATTTCAGGAAGGTATCTGCACTCTCCACAGGTTGTCCGGTAAGAACAGGAATGATGTTGATGGGTTAATGAATCTGTTCTGTACGACATCTAATGCACATCTGTCCGTCCTGGAAGAGGGATCCCTCCTCAGTTGCTCTTCCTGAGGTTTGTACCATTTTTTTTCCCTCATTAAAGGAGTTTTTTTTGGGGAGTTTTTCCTGATCAGCTGTGAGGGTCATAAGGACAGAGGGATGTCGTATGCTGTAAAGCCCTGTGAGGCAAATTGTGATTTGTGATGTTGGGCTTTATAAATAAAATTGATTGATTGATTAACTGTGTGGTTACTACAATAAAGAAATAAACAAAAATGTGCATATTAATCATAATGCAATATTAATTATAAACAAACAGACTGGCTTAAATTACACAATGCAAAAATAAGGCTATGTAATGATAAACAGTATAAAGATGAATACATGAGGAGATCTGAGTGTTTATAAATTTAAGGGACTGTCAACAAAAGCAACTGCTTAGCTCAGAAAGACCCATATCTATTTCACTGGCATAGTGTGCACAGAGGGCGAGACAAATAAATGTGGGACGATCCCTTAATAGACGCATCGGCACGCTCACTACACTGCCGTGACATAAATAATGTCACCTGACGGCACAGCAGTACACCATTATTCAACATAACAATATTATCAGGGATCATATACATCAATTGGAATATGAAATCGGCAATGAATAACCAATGCACAAGACACAGTACAGTACTATAAACTTAACCGAATAACACACAGAATATAATTAAGAACAGTAACAGAATGATAACGTATTACTCACACTCTCGTGGACGCACAAGACGGAGCAAATCAACAAAAGGGGAAGCAAGAGTCCAGAAAAACACAGCTGCAGGTTTAAATATAGTCCAAACTGCTGGGATGAACGAATAAAATCCAGAAACTGCAGCGGTGAATAAAACTCTCTTCATCGGCTCGCGCCAGACACTTCACACAGTGCAGCAGAGGTCTCTGATTGGTTCAGCGCATCATGCCATTAACCGTGCATGTGCGCTCCATGCACGTTCACGTGAATGCCATGCGCAAGATAACAGGCTTTAGGACTGTGCATGTGAACTGTAAATGGGCTGATGAGTGATGCTGTGTTAGAAATTGGCAATGAAGGGCTACCCTTCTGAACAGCGTCCATCATCCCGTCTCTCAGCCAAGTCAAGCAACCACACGCTGCCCAACTTATTTCTTCCACCGGGCTGACTTTGGGCCAATGCTGGGCCAGGTCATTTTTGGCAGCCAGAATCGGGCCAGTTCATTTGGACCAATTCTGGGGTGTCATTCATCCCGAGTGTCAGACAAGTGGGTCAAACGGACATGGCCCGACTTATTTCTTTTGGCGTGCAAAGTGTGGGTTGATGCTGGGCCAGCTCATTTTGCAAATGGAGAAAAAAACCCTCACATAATTAAGTATCATTATCAATTTATTTATTTAAATATTATATTATATTTTCTTTTTTGTGCTTTTGTATTTTTTATTTTGCTTTATGAGCGCATTAAGAGTAGAAACCCACCATCATTTATTTATTTATTTATTTATTTATTTATTTTTCTTTGTGTGTTTGGAACATTAATGGGTTCTGAATGTTAAGTTGTTTTCACTAGATATGTAAAGGTTAATTTGAGATAGCCCTATTTTCATTGTTTTTTCTGTATTTCATTTAAATTTTTTATTTTGTTGTATCTGTCATTTTGTGTCTGGTTTTTATCTTTGCTCAATGACTGGGAAAAAAGCAAAATATGGATTCTGTCGTCCTCTGCTGGTGAGTACTGTGTATTACAACATCAAAAACAGGCTGATATTAAGCCTTGGCTTAATATTTGACAATATTCTGAAAGTCGTCTAATCTAATGTGGCCAACCGATGGGTGGACTTCAGTACGAAGGAGTAAAATTCAACAGAAACCAGGCGGATCATCTCAACTCCAACTCCAACAGGGCTCCAGGGTGAGCAGCTCTACACACAGGTGAAACTTTATTGTTGTTTAATTTATATAAAATACACGTTAAGTGTGAAACTGAAACTGAGTTTTAATACGTTTAAAACTGTCTGTAATTATTGGTATGAGGTTTGTTGGTGAGCATTTTATTACTTTGCTACAAACTCTTGTATTTTCTTAACTCCTTCACAGAGCAAGACATCAGCAATAAAGGATTAGCAGGTGTAGCAGTTAATAAAAGCCACTGAGTGTGACGACAACAAGGATCTGTGATCTGTATTTATGTTTTATTCTTAAACTCATGTTTCCATGGTGAAGCATCCTAACATGCAGCTAACCTGCAGCTAACATGCAGCTTATGCAAAATATTTATCATGCCAACCTCCTTAACAGGAGAACATTAAAGTCCTGTAGCTGTCAACATGTTAATATGCTGACTCACGTGTGCGGTTTCGTTCCAACAAGAGGGCGTCAAACATTCTGGGGAATATTATGCACCGGTTTATGGTGGAAATTTTCTATTGATATTAAGGATAATTCAAAATTCAGGCGCTAGGTGACAATTCAAAATATAAAAATATAATGCACTATAATCCAGTGAGGCCCTCAGGTATTCTGAGACAACACCATTGAGAGCATCCCTCCTCTTTCGGGTCTTTGGGGAAGACATTTACTTGAATTAGCCTGATTTCATTTTAATTCATTGATACATTTTGGATTGAATAACTCGTGTGTGATTCAGCAATATTTCTGATCGTGTTTCCACATTTAAAACACATCCTAAACAGGCCCATCTGTTCTCAGAGAAATCGAAAGTAAAATACTAATGGTACATTTAGAGGACAAAACTAAAGTCGTAATTTATTAAGGATTAAGTTTTGTGTGTGTGTGTGTGTGTGTGTGTGTGTGTTGTTTTTTTTTTAATCTACCTGTCCTATAGTCTGCTGTGCATTTGCCTATATAATCCTACATAACCCTATTTGGGGCTTTCTGTATGAGGGCAGCTCCTCATCACAGGTGGAAAGTAGGTGAGGGAAGACGTCACAGTGCAGACTAAAGTAAAGCAGCCTATTATATGATGATGTTATTCTCCAAATATCAGATTCCTATCATTATTTTTTCTAATTAATTAATT